AAAACCGGAGGTCTTGGTACAACGTAAATCTGACCGTGAATCTGCATGAAATGTAAATAACACAAGATGTATCATAGTTCACCCCAAGGTTTGGGCTACGTCCACACTGATTATGTATTTATCTGAGAGGTGAGGGGAGTGAGGGAGCTCTGTAATGTGAGAGCTTTGAGAGGATGAAGGAGCCTTAAGAAATGGCCTCTTCTAATTGTGAGGGTGAGGGGTCATTTTATAGAATAAGGACTCCTCACTTATTACATATTTGCTCATTCTTTTATCACATAATTACATTTAAATCCCCTGAGTATTTGTATGAGATCTAAATACGAGGCCCTAAATATGGTATAAACAGTAGTCCCCCAAGTCTTCAGTCAAGAGAGTCTTTTGGCTGGAGACTTGAAATTCAGTCTATGTGTGGGCCGAAGTAACTAGATGTTGTCTTGAACTGATGTTCGATATGAGGCGATGCTAAATGATGCTCAACTAGAAGTAGCACATGCTGCTCGGCTCGTGGTTCATGTTGCCTTGGTTGGCTCGGCTTGTGGCGTTTGAAGGTGAGGGAGTCCCTTTTATAGAATAAGGGCTCGATCCTCAATACATGAATGATGGGCTAGAGTTGATGCTTTCTAATGATGGTGAGGGAGTCATTTTTATAAAATAAGGGCTCGCTCCTCAATACATAAATACAGGCTAGAGTTAATGCTCTATAATGGTGGTGAGGGAGTCTCTTTTATAGAATAAGGGATCACTCCTCAACACATGAATAATGGGTTAAGTCCCCCGAGTATTTTTCATGAGGCCCAGTTGAGGCCCAATATGTGGTACATACTGTAGTCCCCCAAGTCTTCGGTCAATAGAGTCTGTTGACTGGAGACTTCAAATTGAATCCATGTATGGGCCGAAGTGGCGGTTGTTCGGATGCAGTATTTGTATACTCTGCGCTGAAGCTTTGTAGGTGAAGCTTTGCAAGTCAAGCTTTTGAAGCTAGAGCTCTGTAAATGAAGCTTTCGAAGCTAGAGCTTTGTAAATGAAGCTTTTGAAGCTAGAGCTCTGTAAATGAAGCTTTTAAAGCTAGAGCTCTGTAAGTGAAGCTTTTGAAGCTAGAGCTTTTGTAAATGAAGCTTTTGAAGCTAGAGCTCTTGTAAATGAAGCTTTTGAAGCTAATTGACATGAGTGATGCTCATGAATGTTTATGTTGATTGACATGAGTGATGCTCATGGATGTTGTCATGAGTGATGCTCATGAATGTTGACATGAGTGATGCTCATGAATGTTTATGTATGATTGATATGAGTGATGCTCATGAATGTTTATGTATGATTGACATGAGTAGTGCTTATGTATAATTTTGAAGTACTGGGCGTACTTTTGATCACCTGGTTGGTGGTAATAGCGGCAGGTTACCGAATAATTTTGGAGTACTGGGCGTACTTTTGATCACCTGGTTGGTGGTAATAACGGTAGGTTGCTGAATAATTTTTTGTGATACTGGGCGTATTTTTGGTCGCATGATTGGTGATAATAGAGGGCCTATCTCTTTTGGGCATATAGGTCTTCGCCCTCCACATGACATTGCAACCCATTATTTTAGGCTTGCCTTTTTCTTTTTCTTTTTTTTTTATATTTTTAATTACCCTCTGATGGGGTTTATACAGATGTTTCCGAAAGATAAGGAAAATTACATTATTAAAAAAATAAGGAAAGTAAAACACATCATTCTGGTGGGGTGTTTATTCCTTGCTTTTGCAGTGTTTTTCTGCTGCACTGTCTCTTCATCTGGCAGACATAAGGAATCATAATAATAGGAAGATCTTTTGCTTTTCTCTTTTCCTTTTCTGCTTTTCCTTTTGCTTTTGTTTTTGTTTCCCACTGCTTTTCTCTTTTCCTTTTTCTTTTCTGCTTTTGATATGTCGCTTGACGACATGATTAAGGGCACAGCTCTTTGGACAGCCTCTTCGACCCCATCCACTTGCTTTTCTTGGTACCTCCACTGCGTACTGTAGGAAGATTGTTTCTGAAATCATACGGAACAAGGACTTTGCCACGTTGGTATGTCGGTGATCAGGAGCCGTTTGTCCACCATGACTGCTATGCTAAAAAACCGGAGTGTTGACCAGAGCTTGGACCGGCAAGTGTCTCTGCCGAAAGTGTTGACCAAAGTCGTGAATTAGAAAGCAGATGCATTGTTACCCTTCATCTTGAACCAAGCCTCAGCACACTGCTTGTGGGCAGCAGCCAAATCAGCCTTATAAGAACACCCCAGCTTAATAGGAATCCCAGATTCATGATTCGTTGCATCCAAGCTCAGGTGACAAATCCTGCAGTCATTCCCCACTTTCGCCAGGTTAATCTTCACCTCCTCCAGATCTACCTCTGCCGAACTCTCCGACGTAGATGATTCCCTCTCCACAAGAGGCACTACGGCATCCCGCTTATCCCTCCTCTACATCAACAACCACATGGGCTTTGTCTACGGCTGCCATTTACAAAAAAACCCAAAGAGAGAATCTTCATGTAATGGCTCTGTGCGGCTGAGATCATCAATGCCCACAGAGGTTGAAGAAGCTCTCAACCCAGCAGGAAGTGGGTTTTTTAGACTTTCAACAACTGGGTTCTGTAGCAGTAGGTCATCTCTCTCTCATCTCTCTCACGGTGGAGGTTCTAAGCTTCATAGAAAACGTAGAAAAATGGTAGAGCCGCTGGTAAAGTTGACCGGGGGGTAGCCTGATCTGGTGGAGTGGGCTTCTTTGAGGAAGAGAATGAAGGACGATGCGGGAGTCAGGTCAGGCCAATGTGCTCCGGGAGTAGGCCTCGGTGAAGGAGTCAGGTCGGGCCAAGGTGCTCCGGTCCACGAGCTCGTACTAGAGGCGACGTTGTGAGAAGCTATGGCGGACGGAGGAGGATAAGCGTGAGATGAACGTGTAGAAGGCCGGCGTGGCGATGGAAGGCTGCGACTAGGCGTCGATGGTCGTTTGGGAGTTGGAGATCGGGAGCGTCGGTGGGGCAGCCATTGTTGGCTATGAGGGCCATGACGACCAAAGAGTCCCCTGAAGGCATAAACTTCACTTTCCTTCTGTATCATCCGGTGGAAGCTGTTGATGATGCCATCTCAACAGCCTTCTATAGTTTGATATAGATCAAGTTGCTTTTGTCTCTGTCGTTTTTTTTTTAACCCAGAGAGATGGGCTTTTCTGGGTTTCCTGGGTTTTTTCTGGGAAAGATTTGGGTTGTTGGGTTTTTGCAGATTCACGGCAGAGGTGAAAAAATGAAAGAGAACTGACACAACTTTTCGTATCGTTTCCCACAGACGGCGCCAAATGTTGATGCACAAAACCGGAGGTCTTGGTACAACGTAAATCCGACCGTGAATCTGCATGAAATGTAAATAACACAAGATGTATCGTGGTTTACCCTAAGGTTTGGGCTACGTTTACACTGATTATGTATTTATCTGAGAGGTGAGGGGAGTGAGCGAGCTCTGTAATGTGAGAGCTTTGAGATTATGAATGAGCCTTAAGAAATGGCCTATTCTAAATGTGAGGGTGAATGTCCTTTTATAGAATAAGGACTCCTCACTTATTACATATTTGCCCCTTTCTTTATCACATAATTACATTTAAGTCCTCCAAGTATTTGTACGAGATCTAAATACGAGGCCCTAAATATGGTATAAACACCTTCCATATTCTTTGAACAAAATATATATATAGAAACACTACGTTACTAATATAAATAAACGCCATGCAATCTGTGGAGTAAAAAATAATCAAGAAAATTATGGAGGTAACACGTGAACTTTTGGGTAAAAAGAACAAAATTACTTTCGAGGCATATCGAGATTCCCATGCGCATGCAACGGACAATAACGGCTCAATTAATGAAGAGTTAAAGGTGATCAAAATGGTATTTATTCAAATCTCTCTCATCACTCCTCATCAAATCCTTATTCAAAAGGTAGCTCCCAATTTTCCTATTTAAATTATGAAAATTGTCATGTTAATTACAAGATATTATTTCACATAACATCTTGCAATTATTCACACAAATTCACCATATATGGCCGGCATCTATTCTCCAAATAGGGTCAGTCACACCCCTATATATAGCCATATTTTCCCACTAAAAAGCTAAGCCATTTTTTATACCCACAAACTCCTAAACACATTCTTTTAAGAATTCTAACCCCCCATTCATCATGGGCACATGAGGCTTTTAGCCTTAATCTTATATGTTATTATTTTGCAAGTGCATTTTCATCAAAAGAGAAGATGGCAGAAATTTGCATCCACAAATTGGTGCTTTCATTGAGAGTTTGATTCACACGCTCGAAGAAAACTCTCGCATTCAAAGTTTCTTGTTTCTCGTTCATTTGTAGATTTTTCGTACGTTCTTATTCCTAGAATTTTTTATAAAGTTATTTGAATAAACGTAAAAGCAAAGTACAATGACTAGAATTACAGAAACCACAACGAACGAAACGTCCTATGTTCAAGGATTTTGACCAAATGATGGAGATTAAGGCATAGCCCCACCACGACGATCCACGAGGCTCAACACGACGATGAATGGAACGGCACCACCCCACAGGGCACCACCGTGGCTATGCCAACGACAGCCACTGTGGCAGCTCACGGTGAGACCCAAGAAAGCATCACCTTGCAGCCGCAAGCCCAGACCCATGCTACCTTATAGCAACGAGCCCAGTCCCGTTCCACAAAAGAGCCTCGCACTGTCGAGCGCAAGCAAGCCCAAGCTAAAGCTGCAGCTGCCAAAGCAGTGGCCTAAGACCCATAAGTCTAGGATGTCGCGCAGGCCTAAGTCGCACCGAGGGGAGCCCAACGCCCACGCGCTCCAGCGGCCTAGCCCCCACAGTCTGACCCGTGCTGGCAACCCGACCCGCTTCCACAGTCCAACCTAAAGTCCATCACACTCATGTGGCCTTCTAGCAGCCTAAACCGATCCAAGACTGGTTCAACCGTCCTGGCTTCATATTTTTGGATCGATGATTGAACCGAGGGTATTTTCACCCTATTTCTCCGCATATTTGACAAGTCATAAAGTTGACAAGCGCCCTTGCGCAGCATACGACCTTGGTGAATCAGCTCTTGCAACATACCAAGATGCAGCGTGCCCCAGACGAAATGTCCTGAAGTAAGATAAGGGCAGATGACAAACATCTCCAGCAGCGTCCCGGTAAGCAGCCATTCGACCATTTACGAACCGAGCATTCTAATAGTGTACACTCTCGACTAGGCCCTCAAGATAGCGTATACTTTTGTCTTAGCGTGCTGAGAAGCGTGCACTCTAAGTTAGGCCCACGAACAAGCATACATTCACAGTTGAGGCCACACTCCGATAATCAACATGAGCAACCTTCCAAGTGAAGTGTTCATGCGCGACTAGGCTCGCAAGGAGCATCATCCACCTCGCATCGAAGTAGGTAGCACAATGGATGGAGATAAGCAGTCACTCAATCTGACTTAAGTTCAACCAGCAGCCTGCGAGAAACTCGCTCACCAGCTAGAAACATACCACATGCACCGTAGCTGTGGCATAGACGAGCCAAACACATAGAAGAGTAGCCTAGACCAGTAGGTCACGACCAAGGGTAGTCAATAGCTCCATTACCCCCAACAAAGGTAAATGTAGGAGGAAGTAGAGAGGCTCCTGATTGATCGATTACACGATTTCCAACGCAACGAGGTCACTGACGAGGCATTATGACGGGACATAACCAACATAAGCAGGTCACCCTTCACGAACGAGATCAAGTAGGTATAGCCTCCACGCAAGTTCAGCATGCCGTGTTTCACATCATTCAAAAGGGATGGAGACCCGAAGATACACCTAAAGCACTATCGAAGTACAATGATCCTCTATCGAAATAACGACGCTCTCATGTACAAAATATTTGCCACCACTCTACAAGGCAAGACACAAGATTGGTTCCACACCCTATTGCCACAATCCATCCAGAGTTTTGACGAACTTTCTTCGGTTTTCACCAAAGAATATTCATCCTATCGCTCGATCAAGAAGAAGTTTGATCACTTGTTCAACGTCAAGAAAAACCCAAAAGAGTCGTACAACGACTATGTGAAGATGTTTAAAGCAAAGAAGGCAAAGATAGTCGAATGCAACGACTCGATAGCTAGTGCAGTCTTCCAAAAATGACTACTAGTAGGATAATTGATCATGAAAGAATATCTAACTCTGGTAGACTCTTTCGCTCTGGCAGAGAAGCATGCACTTTGGGACGAAGCTCGGCGAGCAGACAAAGCACCCGAGCAACCTAAAAAAGAATCAGCAGTAGCTAAAAAAAAAGACGGGAAGCAGTACAACAACAAAAACAGGCAGGCGACCAAGCGCAGGGACCGATCCCCAACTAAAGGAGGCTCGACGCTAAAGAATTATTCTAAGTTCTCGATCCTGATCCACCAAATCCTCTGCAACATCAAGAGCGAACCATGGTTCAAGTTGTCGAAGCAATCAAATTGAGATACTTCCAAGCTGGACCACAATAAATACTGCGTATTCCATTGAGGTCCCAGTCACACAATTGACAATTGCTACACTTGGAAAAACTACCTAGAAAAGTTGGTGAAAGAAGGCAAGGTCGACAGATACTTGGACAAGCCAACTGCACATCCTATAAGAAACGCAGACGCCGACGAAGAGCCGTCGATTAAGACAATCCATATCAATGAAATCTTCGTTGAATCTGAGCACTTGGAGACCACCAACAACCCCAAGAAAAGGAAGATCCAACATGCTCTACTAATCTCACAGGTCCAGGCAGTCAATGCCTAACCTGGACCCATCGTTGGCTTCACCGAGCAAGATGCCGAAAACGTCGACTAACCACACGATAACGCACTAGTGTATCTGTCTAACTAGCCGACGCTATAGTCAACAGAATGATGATTGACAATGGAAGTGCGGTCAACCTTCTTCAGCTCTCAGTAATTTAGAATATGGGCTTGGAAAAGACAATCATACGCCAAGCGGAGGTACTCACCGGATTCAACAGACACACATCGACTGTCATCGGTAAAATTACACTTGACATGAGAACATCGTCAATTATCTCAAAGCAGATGTTCACAATAGTAAGTGACCCGTCTTCTTATAATGGGATTCTAGGGCGACCTTGGCTAATAAAGCTGGACACCGTAACCTCAGTCAAGTATCAAAAGATTAGATTTTGTATCCCGGGATAAGGAATCGGAGAAATTAAGTCTGACCAGGCAACATTTCGACGATGCATTGTGCAAGTACTGAAAGAGTAAAAAAAAAAAAGACCTTTAAGTAGGAGGGTCTCAAAAACTAAACTTTATTTAGTCTGATTGTAACAATTTGATAATGAGAAAGTGCATCGGGGTTCTTAAAAAGGGCGACTGAGAATGTTTGCTTGAATATTTTAAGAAAAAGCAAACTGAAGACAAGTCATTTTTTCTATTCTCTTCGAATAAACGAGGAGAATGAAATATGTGGTTGTTTTTTCTATGATGGAAATTTGAGGCGCGATTATACTATATTTGGTGATGTGTGTGTTTTGATACGACATTCAAAACGAATAAATATAATCTGGTGTGTGCCCCAGTAGTTGGTATCAATAATCATGGTCAAACCATACTTTTTAGATGTGGTTTGCTAGATGGAGAGACAACATATGCATGTGAGTGGCTGTTCAAGGCCTTTTTACAAGCCATGGATGGAAAAGCACCAGGAACCATATTTACAGATCAAGCCCAATCAATTGCTGCTGCGATTAGTGCAGTATTTCCTAAGTGCCACCACCAACTTTGTTTGTGGCACATATATAAGAATGCTACGAGGAACTTGAATCATGTTTTTAGTGAGTTTAAATCATTTACACAGGATTTCAAAAGATGCATATATGATCCAGAAAGTGTTGAAGAATTTGAATCAAGTTGGAATAAGTTACTTGATGATTATGAATTAAGAGGAAATAATTGGCTAGAAGGGATATATCTATTACGTGAGAAATGGGCACAAGTTTATGGTCGAGACCACTTTTGTGCAGGTATTACTCTTAACCAATTCCTATTATATTATTGTGTACATATTATACACAAGTTTCTTTTTCCACTATACTGTGATCAATTTCCATTTTTTTTTTCTTAGGTATGACAACAACATAAAGAATTGAAAGCATGAACAAGTTTTTGAAAAAGTATTTTGCTTGAAACCTCCTTCTGCAAGAGTTCGTCGTCCAATATGATAAAACAGTAGCGGATCGAAAAGAAAAGGAAAGACAAGCAGAAAATGCAACTAAACAGAAATGGCGTAGTTTGTATTCTGATTGGAATGTGGAGATTGAAGCAACAAAGCAGTATACAAGTAAGTTTTTTTATTGTTTCCAAGGAGGTTAAGAAAGTTTTAAATTTGAGACCACTAAAATTAGAAAGTGATGATGGGCAAACACGTACATACACAGTAATGAACTCAGGAAAACGAGGAATTAATAGAACACTTATGTATGACATTGCAAATCAAACAGTATTGTGCAGTTGCAAAAAGTTTGAGTTTGATGGGATTCTTTGTGCACATGCTCTAAAGTTATACAATGATTTAGACTTGTCAAGTATACCATCCAATTATTATTTGAAAAGATGGAGCAAGGATGCTAAATGTGGTATTGGATTTGATTCTTATGATGAATCGACTGTGAGTAATTTAGACTCATCTTTCTTGGTTCAGTATAGCGAGCTATCTAATATAGCACAAAGAATCATAGCAAAAGGTGCAAAAAATAGCCAAAATGTAGTTTTTTGAAATCTGAGTTGTTAAAGTTGGAGAAAAATTTGGATAAGCATGCCAATTTTGGAGAACAAGATGATGGAACAAATGAGGTAAATTATGTTAAGCATGTGACTGAAGCTGAGAAAAATCTTAAGATCCAAGATCCAAAAGTTCAGAAGTCCAAAGGTCGGGGCAAAGGTAGAATGAAGAGTGCTTTGGAATCTAATCAACCTAAAAAGAAAGATCCATACAGGAGAAAAGGTTAGCACATATTTGGCTTGTTTTTATTTACTATTTGATTCACAATTTGCATTTGTCAATGTAATTATTATTTTATTTGTTTAATAGCTTTTAAAGAATCCAATTCAAATGCATATGAGATGAATGGACCATCAACAAGATATGCACAAACTCATGTTTAAAGTTTAGCAATTTTTTGTCATGAATGTTTTATTTATTTATTTATATTTTTGTTCATTAGCATTGTTTTAATCTATTTATGATGGATCAATTGGAATTGGTATTTAGGGACATATTGGAATGCCAAGTCAAAACCAATTCAATATGGCACCTGTAAGTCAAGTCACACATTTTCCTTATGGATTTCCAATTGTTCCTTGTGTTCAAGGGATTCAAAATCCGCTAGTTCAAGAGATTCAAAATCACCAACTTGGATTTCAAGCTATAAGTCCCATGATGTCCAATTACTCATTTATGTATCCTCGGGTTTGTACCTTCATTGAATGTACTATATATATAGTGTACTATATTTTTGTTCTCTAATTTCATAAGTAATTTTTTTCTTTTTATTTATTTGCAGGAAAACATTCAACCAATACCTCTGGGAACCACTCCTCAACTAAAATTTTCAAATCTATCAACATCAAACATTCAACCAATACCTCTGGGAACCACTCTTGAATTGAATTTTTCAAATCCATCAACATCTTAGATCATGTTGTAATAGAATTTAGAGATTTTTTTTGTTTTGGAACGACATCCTCTGAAGTGGAGAATATTCATCCTAGTAGCTTTGTACAATTTTATTTTGATGAGTTTCATCTCAAATAATTGTATTTTGTTGGATATTGAAGACGAAGTGAATTGATATAATTCGTATATCCATATAAAGTTAGAATCATATGCAAATGGAAGATCAAGCTCGCATATTTTAATTACCATAAAATTTTGATTACACATATTTTGATTACCATAATCTCCAACTAGTTACAGATCCTATTTATGATAAAACCCTTTACATGATCATACAATAGTAAAGATCCAAGTCATGGAAGTTTACAGAAAACAACGACTATGAAGGTGTAATCGACATTGGGGTTTTAAGTTTATGTTTATGTTTTTTAAATTGGAATTAGTAGAGTTTCCAAAAAAAAAAAAAAAAAAGGAGTTAGTTGAGTTTGTTTGTAAGGAGTGATAGGGAGAAATCGCGAAGGAGATAAAGCTTTAAACTTTAGCAGCTTCGGTTCTGTTAGTTCATCACTTGACGAATGTTTGGCGGGTCGGCTGAAAGGCCAAAGCCGAACTCACTGTTTGTATTCAAAAAGGTAAGTTTTAAGTTTTAATAACATACTTAAAAAGAAATGATATATATGGAAGTAAATGAGTAAAAGTATGATTCTCTTTTCTATTAATTAAAGCAAAAATAAAAAATAAAAAAAGGCTTAACTAGAGTTAGTGTGGATTACACATGGCAAGCATTGGAATGGGTGGTGAGCATACCCTATAGTTAGTGTGGGTGAGCAAAAATGCACCCATTTAAATTAGGATTAATTGCCATGTTCATTGCAAGATATTATTTCGCATAGCATCTTACAATTATTCACACAAATTCACCATATATGGCCGGCCTCTATTTCCAAATAGGGCTGGCCACACCCCTATAAATAGTCATATTCTCCCACTAAAAAGCTAAGCCATTTTTGCTACCCACAAACTCTAAAATACATTCTTTCCAGAATTCTAACTTTGGCATCGGAGATTCTTCGGCCAAAGCCCCCTCCATTTATCGTGGGCGCGTTAGGCTTTTGGCCTTAATTTTAGGTGTTATTATTTTGCATGTTCATTTTCGTCAAATGAGAAGATGGTGGAAATTTGCATACACACAATCGAGTTTAGAATATACCTAGTAAAATCACGAAAAGATTGAAGATTACTTCTTGTTACGAGCATCTACGAGTGCAAGCGCAAATCACGAACTCTTCGTCTACCAAACAAAGCTTTCGTACCCGCCGAAGGAAACGGTGATTACTCTTAGACATAGTGTTTGAGAGTGTATTTTAAATAGGGAGGGAGGGGCATGAAATTTGGGTGCTGGAAAACTTTCTGAGTGCGAAAGGAGGGATGAGCACCGCTGAGTTTTGAATCCAACACGGTTATTATTTGGATTAATTTGTAACCGTCGCACACGTTAATATTTCCTCGTATTTTCAGATTGTTTTAAATTTGACAAGAAATCATCTTAAAAATCCGAATTGAGAAAAAATTCCGATTATGAACTATTTATGTTAGGGGTGGGCAAATGGGGCATGGACCCGCAGGTAGGGGCGGGTCCAAGCGGTTTGGGGTGGGTACGGGCCAGGTCTGATTTTTTTCTAAATCTGAAACAAGGCGGGTCCACGTTAATTGCGGGATGGGGCGAGTCCTAACTGCTGAGGAAACGGGTCCCCAACCCGGACCGTTTCCACCATTCAAAAATATGAGATTTAACCTGGTCCATTGATCAAATCTCTGTATTAAAACTTATAGCAGAGTCTATCTCTCAGACCTCAATCGCACTCAGACTTTCCAACTCCCTGAATCTCCTCACATCTCTTATCTCAGACCTCGATAAGGCGCCCATCTCTATCCATCGACTATCCCCACTCTCTCGTTCTCCTTCACACCCCTACTCGACTAAAATCACTAAGACTCATAGTGACTGAGTCGACCTCAGTTGTGTCGACATCACAACAGCTAGCCATCATCACCATTGTGGCATCGTCTTTTGACTCTCCTTCGGTCCTTCTAATCGCGAGTTTTGGCCACCACCACACCATCCTCGCCGTTGAGAACACCACCATCATCCTGCAAATCCCTAGGTAATTTATGAATTAAGGTTTTTGATTTAGGAACTTAGGGTTTTTTCATAAGCTTTTCAATTTATTTATGAATTATGTGGGTTTCTTATTTGGGAATTTAGGTTTTTTGGGGTTGTGATTGCATAAGCTTTTTGATTCATTATAATGACATGTTGTGATTTGATTACTTGCTGAAACTTTTCGATTGGTTTTGAATTTTATGGATCTGCTTATAGATTGTAGATTTTAAGTTGTTTCGTATTTAAATTTGTTACAATTTTTTGAAGATATTGATTTTTGACTAAAATTGGTAATTGAAGCTACAATCTTGATGCTTGTAAGTCAAAGCAATAGTGAAGATTATTTGATATCCATTATTGGTTTCGATTTTCAACCCCGAATCGGAACTGACTAGATTATTGAGTAAAGCCAATAATGAAAAGTTTGTTGGCTTTCTTTATGTTTATGAAATTTGTTATACTTATCATGTAATATATTTCATGCAGTTATTGATTATGTAATATGCTTCTAATCTCTCATTTCTAATGATCTCATATGTTTCTTCCTCCATTATAGTTAGAGAGAGGTCACAAGGAAGGGTGTCGTCCTTCTACCATAAATCACTAGAATATTGGAAGTCATTTCGGATGTTAATTTGGATGTTATTACGGATTTCATTTTATGTTATTTTGGATATTAGTTTGATCTTTGGACTTTGGATGTCTCAGATGCTATTTTTTATTGTTATGTTATTACGGAGCTTATATGTTATTTTGATGTTCGGACCTTGAACTTTCGAAATTTTGGATCTTAGAATCAGTAGGCTCTGTACTCGGTTCTAATTTTGGATCTTGGAAATTTGGATTTTTTGTGTTATTTGGAATTTTGGATCTAGGAATTTCGAAGATGGAAAAAAAAAATGTATGATGCAGTAGAGTATGTACTTTGTTCTAATAAAAAAATGAAAATAGACCCAACAATCAATTCTTAAAGAAAAAAAAAGTAAGTGCACCAGGCCCGTTTGAAACGAGCCGGGTTAGATCCGGTTCCATAATAAAAAATTTCATTACCTAGTCCAGCCCGGCCCATGCACACTCCTAATTTATGTGTTTGTTTGGACTAAATGAGGAACTTCATCTTTCGATTTTGGAGCAATTGGATTAATTGTAAATTATTGTAATTAGTAAGATACGTTCCTTTGTCTTGAATTAACTTGGCACCTCAATGATGAGGTGGAGTTCCTTGTCTTCAAGATGATTTATTCCCAATTTACAAAACTTCGTACTTATAATCAAAATTGTTTTTATTATAAATCACTTTGTAAAATTTATTTCTACAAAAATTAATAAAATAAAATATCGTTTAATTATCGAATAGTATAAAAACAAATGGTCAAATACAATAAAAATAGTTATGAATCATCTATCTATTTTCTATAATTGCTTGACTAAATGACCTTACTTTTAAATTGATTTTTTGTAGAGATGATCTTTGCAGAGTAATTTATAATATGAATGATTATGATCACGAGCACAAAGTTTGTGAACTGGTTACAAAGTATTTTGAGGAAGAACTCCTCTTCAATTTTAAGGAGCCAAGCTTTCCTCTTCATAAGATACATTCCCATTTAGACTTTATTGTACTTGTTTTTTTTTTTTTTTTGGAACAAATGATATTATCTACTATTTTTTGTTAGAATGGAGGAATGGACTAAGTCTCACAATGGACTAGCAATAATATAGTTCAAATTCTCCTTTTGCGATAATCGAACCTAAGACTTCTCACTTACAAATGAAGAGGAATATCATTATACCGTACTACTAAGTGGCATACTTTATTGTAATTAGAACCAGGACATATTAGTTTCTTTTAATCTCCAAGGATTATACACTAAGAAAACTCCTACAAAAAATCCTCACATAAAACTAGTTCTAGTAGTATTCTAATTTTGGGAGAATAAAAACTCATCAAAGTTTCAAGTTCGGCTACAATGATTACATCTCAATCAGTAATACAAGTTTTAGGGAACATATAACTGTGGAAAGATCCATTTGATCCCTATATGCAAGACCTAACTGCTAATTTTCAAAATGACTCGTGGTTTGTACTCTGAAAGAAAAATTGCAAAGTTGTGTTACTTTCAACCATTGTGTCCTCACATCATATCTAGTTTGTCCATTAGCTATAATTCAACAAACATTAACCATATAAAATAATTAAACTAGTAAACAACTTATTTAGAATCAATACCATTCTTACTCCAATTCTAGATAGTTAGTAAACAACTACAATAAAAATTCGGATTTTGACTCCTCCCCAATTATGGCTACATATAAGTGAACATGTCATGCATGAAAAGTTACGAAGCTTTTTAAAAGAAAAAGAACAAAAAAAAGAGAGAGAACCTGACAACAACAGTAAACCCAAAATGATACATAAATCAAGGGCCATGTATCAGACCACATCACAAGAACGTCCCAAAAAGTCTAACAAGATCCCAAAACTCACAAATTCACTAGTATGATAATGCATGTACACTAATTACTCATATTTGGCAACACAAAATCACCACTTGTTTCAAAATCTTCAACATAGGCTTCAAAATCATCAACATCCATGCTGCTGCTTCCGATGAGATGCCTACTGGCATTCGGGACGTTTAATGGTTTCCTTGCCTCTTGTATTATGGACAGAACTTCTTCAACGCTTTGCCACGGATTATTTACATCGTTGCACTGCCAACTTCCTCCTTCCATCATTTCCATAGGTAAGTTCTTTAGAAACCAAGGGTGGCTTTTGATTTCTGGGATAGTTATTCTCTGCAGAGAGATATTAAGCAGAGACCGCGGTGAGAAGGCTAAGCCGAACAGATCAATTTCAAACAGAAATGTGCAACAAGAACCAGATATTTGCAATAATATGAAGGAAAAACAAAATTCAAGGAAACTCTTCATGCTCGCTAACAGTGTACCAAAATAGATTACAAGAGTATCAATACAGTCATGTAGTACTTTCAGCACCAAATTAAAAACTACGTTACCTCTTCAGGGTTTGCTACAAAGATATGAGATAAGAGATGTCTACATTCAATTGAAACAAGGACATTATCTGGAACTGAGTACTGCACACTAAGAATCCGCTGCCAAACGACACATATTGTGTTAATGACAACTCAAGAACGAATTAGCAAGTTTTGATATATACGATGTTTAACTTCTGTTCCATTTTATCGGCGAAAAACACTTACCCCAATTGTTTTTGTAAAGTTTCTAGGGTCTTTGGGATCTTCAAAGGGATATGCTCCAACTATCATCACATATAAGGTGACTCCACAAGACCAAACATCTGCAATCTGTAATCTCTAAGATTAGATCGAAAGATGCTATAACAAGTTATAATGTCGATCACAAGGGCGCAAGAAGTGGACTTACCTTTCCATCATATTGTTTTTTAGATAGGACTTCAGGTGCTATATAAGCCGGTGTTCCTACAGTAGATTTAGGCTGAGAATGCAATAATGACTACAAAACAAAGTGAACAAATTAATCAAAGTCTAATTAACTTAAATCCCTAATGTTGATCCGTATACTAAGGTTTGTGGATTACCTTTGAGTATCCGAAATCACATATTTTTACACGCGGTGCTGTACTGCCGTCTAAGAGTGTGTTTTCAAGCTTAAGGTCTCTATGACAGATTTGCTGCGACAAACGAATTATTTCCTTACTACAACCAACACTTCCAATATCAAAAGAGAAAGAAATAACAGTATACGAACGTTAACAGACAAGTGCCGCATTACATACCATTGAATGACAGTAACTAACTCCTGATATCAACTGCTGGAAGAAAAACCTTGCCTGATACAAATCAACAAGTAAATCGAAATTTTTTGTAAGTTTAGTTATATTATGAACTGTTTATGTAAAAATGTTCCAGACCTAACTTTCCCTATCTGAAACTCAACAAAAATCAAGATGGATTCCATTTCAGGGGACACTCAGAGATCCCATATTTCAGAATCTACGTTAAATACATTTCCAGTGAAATATTCTCAGCCTTCAATACTACTTTACCTCATCCTCACTAAATCTGCCAGCATTGCATATTCTCCCGAAGAGTTCTCCCCCAGCCGCGTACTCCATAACTATGGCTAGATGAGTTGGTGTCAGAAGGACCTGCAAGAAAGAGACCGCACTACTCCCAAGTCAATTATCTCAAGTAAGCCATTGTAAAGACTATGGGCTCGTTTGGATGTGCTTTTAAAATGACCGGAAACGCTTTTAGAGAAAATGTTTTTAGGCTCCAAAAGCACTTTAAGTGCTTTCTACAAAAAGCACCAGTTATGTGCTTCTTCCATAAAGCACTTTAAGCGCTTTTCCCTAACATTTTTACTAAGGATTGTTTCCAAAAATATTTTCACAAAAAACGCTTTTAGTCCTTTTAAAAACACATCCAAACGAGCCCTATTTCCACTTCACAGTAAAAATAAAATGCAGAAAGTAATGCTCATTTTTAGCAGAGGTATTTTAATTCTGCAAGTGGTGGATTGTCCCGGTGGGTAGGGCATTTCTCTTAGTCCCACTGCATCCCTGGTTCGAAGTTCTAACAATCCCCCATCCCCTTGGTGCATTTCAGAGTATAAATACCACGTTTTAATAAATAAAAACATCACATCTGATCATCCATACAAGGTTAAGCACATTAAAGACCAAATTTAGCATGTCCAGTGTTCAGCCATCCAACCCCAGCAGATACTTATACAAAATTGAAACAGAACTTGCCAAATTCACTCTCTTAAAATTAAAAATGAATGTAGTTTTTGACCACTGACCTCTTTGAATCGAACGATATTCGGATGCTTGAGTGATCTGTGGTTCAAGATTTCCCTTTGAACGTGTTCATCTATCTGCATCACCAAAGAAATTAAATAGTTTAATAAAGGCAATATAAAATTAAAAGGATGAGAAAAGAAAAGAGAAGGCAGAAAAAGGGAAAATATAGGAGTTGAAGAAGAGAACCTTGTGTCCTCTCTCAATGAACTTGACAGCATAGAGTTCTCTGGTGAGCTTGTCTCTGACCAGCCTTGCCACCCCAAAATTCCCAGACCCAATATCTTTAACAATCTCATACCTCTCCATACTATTACACCAATGAATTCCTAAACCCTAAATTTGCACTCTTCTTCCTGTTGTAATTTGACAGACTTGACAAACCAGATCATGAGACATCAACTTGGACTAAATTGAAAAGAGGTTGGAGGGGGGGGTCGGGCACTGACAAAGATTTTAGAGGGTTTAGGGGGACAACTGGAAAAATGGGTTGGTGTGACACTTATCATTCATATGTCTTGACAAGCCATGGGATTGAGAGGCCACCACACACTGTTTGACTGTATGCTTTGCAAAGAGTAATGCTAGATAATATTTTAGATCGTATTTATAAATCAAGAGATGCGTTATACATATAAAAAAAAAAATTAGTAAAGGCCACACGTTCTATGTGTGAGGAACATAATTTTTATTTTTATGTTTCTTAAATATTGTTGTTAATATTTTTAAGGGAGGAGTTATTTGTTTTTAACGGGATTGGCAAGCATCCGGAAAAAAAAAGGGGTTGGTAGTTAAGGAGAGAATGAGAGAGAGTGAGTATAAAGGGTAATAATAAGATGACATGGTTGTGAGGTTTAGAAAAGAAAAAATAAACAATAATTTGTTTGTACGGAATTACTTTAATGACCATATTTTTTTTCTTTTCCAACATTTTTTTAATTATGTATTAAAGGTTATAATTATAATTTCATTGTTTTTTTTTTGTGCTGATAACAGAAGTTCTACTAATATGTAATTTAGATAATTACGTTAATTAATATTTATGTATTAATTCAATCATCCACAAGACAACAATCACGTCAAAATAAATGAGTTTGCATATGAGTTAGGCAAGGGCAATGTATCCACATGTTACACTCAAATTCCAATTATCTTTATGAAATATTAAAGTGAGGATCATTCAATATTATAGTATGGTGATATTCCTCTTTCACTTGGAAGTGAGAGGTTTTAGGTCCGAATTTCGTGAACGGCGAATTCAATACTAAATTAGGTTGCTCATTGTATGGCTTAGTCGAACTCTCCATCTCCTTAGTATAAAAATATCAATGTACTAAAAAAAGTGATTTTGGATATTTCTTTATTGAAGGATAAAAAGTATATAAAATGATGGTTTTTCAAGTGTAGGATTAGTTTCCTGGTCCCATTTTCCTTACCTTTGCTTTTTTCGTTTTGTTAAAATTTAAATTAAATACGCTAGAAGATCCGCAGCAGTAGGGAGGTATGTGATAATATTTGGGTCAACAGACCCCCATCCTCCCTTGTTCGTGTTCTGTGTAATGATGGTCTCCCTTATCTCCATTAATTTCTTCCTGGCAATATGAGGAGTGACATTTTTAGCATTTGGTGCGATGTCGTCTTTACCTCTTTGTACTGCTTTTCCTTAGTTGTTGCTGCTTGCTTTTGCCTCGGGGTAGGCTTCTTTGTTTCTTTGGCATCTTTGCCCGGTTGTTATTTAATCCAGTTCGCCAAAAAGTTAAATTAAATAATTCAACAAAGAATCAAACGATAAAAAAATAAAATAAATAAGGAATTGTTATTAACACTTCAAAAATCTCATTTGACACTCTAAACTTTCTATAATTCGAAAGAAAAATACATTTATGAAGAGTGTACAATGAAAATTTTGAAATGCTAATAACAATTCCCAAAAAATAAAGTGCATTAAGAGAAAAAGAAAGAGATGAAGATTTCCCTTATTGGATATTGAATTATGGGCCCAGTTTGAAAATTCGACTTTTTAATTTGTTTCTTGGTTAAAGATTTTAAGAAGAAGCAAAAGATAAAATTACAGTCAGGACTCACTAGTGACGAAAACGATTTGCGTAGAATGAACGTGTGACGTCCTAACCTAATAAAATATAATATTATGCGGAGAAAGACTTTAATTGTGTTGTTAAAACAAAAAACTTTAATTGTGTTATTAAAGCAGAACGTCACACGATGAAAAACCTGTTCTATGTAAGTAGTCATGCTATACGTAAACTATGGGCGTGAGTTGGATGGAAAATTCCAACTCCAGCTGATTCTAATCGGAAAATTTCCAACTTTTCCGAAAAAAGGAATTTATGTTGGGGTGTGATATCCACACATCCTATTTTACTTCTCATACACTTTTTTAATTCTCACACACCCCTTTATGATAACTTAGGAATAAAGTGGAAGATAATTTAGAAATAAATTGGAATTTGTGTTGGTCTGGTTCCAATCTAATCCGTCAGAAATATGTCTACCCCAAACCTTGGGTTGGAAGTATCATTTTCTGGGCACAAACTAGCAGTAACCCAAAATGCGACATACATTAAGGGCCCAAATTCACAAGTAAGATTTGTGAATGCAAAAACACCACTTCCAAGTTTCAATATCTTCAACACCAGCAAACAAATCGTCAAAGATTCATGCTCCTGCTCCTGCTGCTGCCACTGCTTCGAGGACGAGGCCTATCAGCAGCATTCAGGACCTCTAACGATTTTTTTGCCTCTTGTATTATTGTTAGAACTTCGTCTATGCTCTGGGCTGGAGTATTTACATCGTAGCACTGCCAGCTACCTTCTTCCATCATTTCCACAGCTAAGTTCTTTAAGAACCACGGGTGGCTTTTAATTTCCGGAACTGTTATTCGCTGCAAAATGATAAGTAGTGACCACGATGAGAATGCTAAAGTGAACTTAAAATTTCAACTATAACCAAATCGTTATCTAGTAGTTTCAGCACCGAAGTAAGAGCTACATTACCTTTTCGGGGTTTGCCACGAATATTTTAGATAAGAGATCTTTACATTCCTTGGAAACTCGGACAGTATCTGGAATTGAGTAGCGTACAGTAAGGATTCGCTGCCATAAGACATACATGTAGTATATTAACTACAACTCAGAAAAGAATTAGCCAGTTGTGATATATGCAATGTTTAATTTCAGTTACATTTCAATGGTGAAAAAGGTCGTAGTGCAACTAACCCCAATAATTTTTTTGATGTTTATAGGGTCTTTAGGATCTTCGAAGGGGTATGCTCCAACTAACATCACATATAAGGCAACTCCAGAAGACCAAACATCTGCAATCTATAATTTCTATAAGGTTAGATAAAAAACTTACTTAACGTAATTACAAGCTCCAGTGTCAATGAAATGGCACTTGAAATGGACTTACCTTTCCATCATATTGTTTTGTCGAAAGGACCTCAGGTGCGATATAAGCTGGGGTTCCTACAGCAGATTTTGGCCGAGAATGCAATGCTGACTATAAAACATGGTGAAAGAATAAATTACTCTAAGTCTCACTAAACCGAATCCCTCTTGTGGATCCGTACTCTAGGGTTTGTGGAATACCTTTGAGTGTCCAAAATCACATATTTTTACTCGGGGTGCTGTGCTGCCATCTAAGAGTGTATTTTCAAGCTTAAGGTCTCTATGACAGATTTGCTGCCAGAAATGAATTATTTCCTTACTACAATCAAACACTACCAAAGAACACGAACACTAGCAAATATCGTACGAGAAAGAAACAGCAGTATAACATATTAACAGAAGAATTCCGATTTAGATACCATTGAATGACAGTAACTAACTCCTGATATCAATTGTTGGTAGAAATACCTAGCCTGATGCAAAACAACAACAACAAAAATTGAATAAGATGTAAATTTTATTTCGATTATAACTGATCGTTTAAGTAAATGCTTCAGGAAATTAAAAAAATAAGATAACGGACCTCGTTTTCCCACTTTTAAGTAAAAGAAAATCTAGATGTTTTGCATTTTCAGGGGACATTCTGAAGATCCCAAGTTCCAAACTACAAATATTTTGCCGGAAATTGTCACCCACTCAGTAATTAGTTAATTACTTTACCTCGTCCTCACTAAATTTTCCAGCCTTGCATATTCTCGAATAAAGTTCTCCCCCGGCAGCATACTCCATTACTATGGCTAAATGAGATGGCGTCAGCAGGACCTGCAAGAAAAAGACCCTAAAACTCTTAGGTAGGCCATTGCTGATTCAAAAGATCACCACCATTACTGAAGCTTCAAGAATTGAGAGAATTGCAAGTGAATGTACTTTCTTATTGAGAAAACAGAATGAGTTGTGATCGTCCAATATGTTTCAGACACAAAATATACACCTCCGTTAATGAGCTGTCATTAACTAAATAACTAAAACTGATTGTTAAAGGACTCTCATGTTACGGAAGCCCTCACGCACGAATCAAAAGCTGGTGTGGCACCTTACTATCCATTATCCTCCCTCAAGCTTACGCTCGGTATCTGGAGCATGATATTGTTTCTAAGATAAAGAAATGGAGGAGAATGCAAGCCCTTTGCCCTGTTCTGTGCAAGTTGATCAGAGCTAGAAAATGATAAACTGCAAGATCTCTCTCTGCTCTCCATTGAAATGAACAACCTCTTCCACAGATTTATTGTCACATTGAAACACAGGGTTATGGGCTAAGGCAATAGCGGACATATTATCACACCAAAGGATTGGTGGTCTGTCATGCCAGTCACATAGTAACTTTCGAATCCAAGCTAAAGCTTTGTACTCTGCTTCTGTGGAGGAACGTGAAACAGTCGGTCCTGAGCAATGGGATGAGTAACCCCAAGGCTTTTCAGGCAGAGTTCATCACAAGGCACAAGGCACGCTCCGTTGCAAAAGGTACTTACAGAAGAAGGTTTGGACTTTGATGAGACTTTCAATCCAGTGGTTAAACTTACCATTGTCTGGTTAGTTTTGGCTTTACCTTCAACTTTCAACAACCTTCAAATCCTATCAATCGAAGAACACTAAGGGTATGTTTGGGTGAGGAACTTTCCAAAATCAAAATGATTTAGGCATAGTGATGAATAGATGAGTCACATAAAGTTTGATATGAGGGGTTAGAAATGCACCACATGAGCATTACAAAAGGCATGACAGAAGGATTTGCAAATGAGTACTTGGAAGGAGTCATTTACAAATCCCTATCACATGCTTCTGTAATGCCCATGTGGTGCATTTTCCAATTCCTTCGAACTAACTTTTTGTGATCCATTTCTTCTTCATTTTGCCTAAATGCATTGGAATTTGGAAGTCTCTCGTCTATAAACAAACCCTAAAGGCGGGATTTTAGTATATTTAAGTAGAAAGACATGCTATATGTTTACACAGCAAATTCATTCTCAAATGAAAACAAAACAAAATCAGAGTAAAAACCATGCATCCACCAAAACACTGTATTCTATTTATTAAACAAAGAAAATTGGATATTTATGTATATTTACAAAAACTTATGATGACAGACCTCTTTGAAG